ATACAAAATTAATTATTAAATTTAAAGATGACATTTTGGGTCATCACAGTAAGAGATCGATAGATTCTTATTCGCAATATTAACCATGTCAACCAATAAATGAGATAAATTAGTTAGTCAATTCACTTGAAGAATCTAATAGGATTGCTAGATAGCCCATTACCCTAGATCATTTTTATTACATTAATATCATAGAAATCTGCTTTTCCCTTGTTTAGAGTTCACTATTTATTTTTCTTTATTTTAATTAGTTTAGATTCAAACACTTCTAGGTTAATCGTCGTTTAGATAATTAGGATAGTCTAATTTAGTTAATAGTTAATAACAAGTCCTCGTGGGTTCGACATCCGACTTTTAGTCACTTTATTACTTGACGACTGCTTATACATACATGTGCGTTTGGCCGCAACAGGTTTTTGGCGCCGTTGTCGGGGACTTAGAACTAGCTATTTTTCTAGATTAGACTTTTACTTTTATCTTTACAAGTTTTGTTTTATTAATATTATTATTTTTATAACTATTTGATTTTTCTCTTAGTGTATTTCTAGTTCTCTCAGCATGACATCTGGGGATGATATATACGGAGGTAAGGTTATTGATGAAGACCCTTGGTTGACGGAAGACTTTTACGGCCCGTATTTTTGGGCTTGTCATGTCCTAACCTCTTAGAGATTTGAATTTGAATATGAGAGAAAGGGTTGGTATTGGTACAAATATTCTTGATTAAGGGAATATACGGAATGGCGTTGTCTTCTAACAACGTTGGTGAATGATTGATCGAAGGAGAGAGTTGATCTTGCATAAGAAATTGACAGGTTTGGCTTGTTTTGTGCAACTTGGATACAGATTTGAGTGCAAAGGTTGATGCGTGTAACACCCAACAATTTAATGATGATTTATGTGAAGCTGAAAAAAGTCTTCTAGACCAAATTGAGGTGCTAAAACGAGAATACCAATGATTAGACCATATTTCCCTTGATGGTGTCAATGTTGAGAAGGGTGCTCTAGAGTAATGTGAGAGAGTAGATAATATAACTTTTGCACACTCTAGTATATGTAAATATGGGAATGTAAATAGTAAAATTCATGAGTTAGGGCGCATTAGACCTCATTCCAATCATTTTTTCACATTATGTTTAGATGGTAAAATAGAAATTGAGCCATCTGAGCCTTTGGGGGGAGTCAAAGGGTGAGGATGAAAGTGCCTATATTCTTGAATTTATTATGCCAAAAGTAAAAATTATATTCCTCATCTAAAGGCCGAGAAGTGTAGAGTGAAAAATTTATTATTTGGCTTGGTTATCTTTGTAGCCCCACCCAAAGAGCATAGCAGAAAACTTGAAGCCAAATGTAATGACCCAACCAGTCATTCTAACTATTAGAACCTCGTTCCCTAAAATAAAACTACCCAAATATGCTTTTATTGATTTATGACTTGCGGGGATGGTTGGTTCAGAATTTGGAAGTGTTCGAGTTGAAATCGGAACACTTGGTTCCTTAAGTCAGCCTTAAAAGGCCAAGTTTGACTTCAGTTAACATTTTGAGAAAACGACCCCGGAACTGAGATTTGACAGTTCCAATAGCTCCGTATGGTGATTTTGGACTTAGGAGCGTGTTCAGAATTCTATTTGGAAGTCCGTAGTTAAATTAGGCTTGAAATGGCTAAAACAAGAATTTAAGTTTGGAAGTTTGACTGAGGAGTTGACCTTTTGATATCGGGGTCAGAATCCAGTTCCAATAATTTTCATAGCTCTGTTATGTCATTTATGACTTGTGTGCAAAATTTAAGGTCAATCGTACTTGAATTGATAGGTTTCGGTACATAATGTAGAAGTTGGAAATCTTAAGTTTCATTAAGCTTGAATTGGGGGATGATTCGTGGTTTTAGCATTGTTTGGTGTGATTTGACGGTTAGACTAAGCTCGTATGATATTTTGGGACTTGTTGGTATAATTGGTCGAGGTCCCGAGGGGCTCGGGTGAGTTATGGACGACTAACGGATCACTTTTGACCTTTGGAACACTGCTGATAACTGCTGGTATTTTCTTCTGGTATCCTAATATGCGATCGCGTAAGTTGATCTGCGATCGCGTAGAGTAATTTAGGCAGAGGTGGATTTGTTCTACACGATCGCGTGAATGGGGTTGCGATCGCGTAGGGTTAATTTGGGCAGCTGGGAATTTGTTCACTGCAATCGCGTGGAAATTAATTAATTGTTAAGAGAAATCGTTCTTCCTCCCGAATTTATCTTATAATAAATATACTCTCATTCCCGGAGGTACATAAGAAAAATGTCATCCTTTCTTGTGGAGCGGGCCGAACATCTCAGCAGGATAGATGCATCTATGGATCGTGTCGCACGTCCCTCGGCAGTGTACATGATACTCTGGATCGGGCCGTACGTCCTCGACAGAAATCGTGCTTAATAATAGTAATTACACGATACCTTAATAGTTTATTTCAGTTTGCGAAGCTAATTGATAAATTGAAAATCTTTGGAATTTAATGAATTATTATTCCTGCTTGTTAAGGAATTATTGTTATTCCTGTAAATGAGACTAACTGATAAATTGAAAGTTTATTGAAATTGAATTGCAGCTGGTAAAGCTATTTGATAAATTTGAAGTTTTATTGAAATTGCATAATTTAATTTATAAATTGGAAAATTATTGCATTTGAAGGATTTTTATTATTTCTACTAATTGAATAAAATTATTGTTAACTCTGTGAACCATGCTGATTTGAATAATTATAATTTATTCCAATTATTATTATTGACCCATAGTGAGTGTCAAAGTCGGCTATCTCGTCTCTACCACTTCGAGATTAGGCTTGATACTTACAGAGTACACGTTATTTTCGTACTCATACTGCACTTGCTGCACATTTTATTGTACAGGTACACATATGTATAGCGGCCTTGTGGGCGCAGAGGTGTGGTTAATAATTGTGGGGACATAAGTGAGTTGCATTCTATATTACGATCTGCAGCTAACAGAGTCTTCTTCAGTGTTATTATATTTTTCCTGTCTAATTTGTATTCTGGACAGATGCTGTATTTTATTTTTAATTCCCTAATAAATGCTCATGCACTTGTGACACCGGATTTTGGGAATGGTTGTGAATTGTTTAGAAATTTAGTTGCTAAAAATATTTATCATTTACTCTATGAGTTTTATTTTTATTATTTCATTGAAGAAATTTTGATCTTAAAAATACTAAAATGGGTAATTAAGTTAATTGATTATGGTTGGCTTGCCTGACAGTGGTGTCCGGCGCCATCACGGCCATTTTGGATTTTGGGTCGTGACACCAAATTAGGAGCTCAATTCATAAGTTCAAGGTGGAGGAAAACAATGATTCACATCATATCGCGACGTTAAATTAGGCGCTTGTTTAGAGGCAACCCACCTTTACTGCTTTCTTTTATTTTTATTTTTATATTTTTGGTTTATTTTATTTTTTATTATATTTTTTTTGTATTTGTTTTTGTTTTGTAGGACTGTGAGCATAGAAGAAAAAGTCACTGAAAGTGTGCAAAAGAGAGCCAGATGGTTGGAACTAGTGTGAGGTACCTGCACAAAGGACCATCCTTGGGAGAAGTCTGAGTACCCGTCAGCTACTATTGCTTCGACCTTTGGTCTTTCAGGGAGTTTCTTGTCCACCTTTGTTATGTTTGCTTTATTTGTGCACTGGGATCACTGCACTGTTTTAAGTATGGGGTAGAGGAATTTCTTTAGATAATTAATAGTAGTATGTTATTAAAAAAATATTAACTTCCTATTTTGAGCTTAGCTTCTTATTTTTGTTTTTGTAGTAGTATAGTATTTTAGTAGTAGTTTTTGTAACTTAATATTTTTATATGGAAAATTAAAAAAAAAATTCAAAAAAATGGACTTTTCCTGACGATAGATCTCCTAGGCAGCTTTCTTAAAGGATTAAAGTCAAAAATAAGTAGAAAAATACAAAAATATGTCTTTTACATTTTTTTAGGTAGCAATAATCCCCGTGATTTTTTTTTGTGCATCGGTTTTTTTTCATCGGATGTAGTTTGAACAGGACAATAGTTTTAAAATTTTTAGCAATAGGTTAAAATTTAGGGAATAAATCGAGAGAAAATGATGAACCCAGGTGCCTGACTTGTTTGATAGTAGCATAATTAGGCTGGAGCATGTGTAGTATCTTCCCTATATTTTGAAATTATCTATAATGCCTTTATAGATTGAATAGCATGTCTTGTGAGGCATATGTCTCTATTTCTTGACTATTGTTCACTCTGTGCTTAATGCTTAATATCTTGTGGCTCCGTGAGTACTTGCATTAGTTTGAGAGTCGGAATGAGACCATCCTTAGTGAGTCATGTTCTATGTATGAGACGAGGTTTTTATGTAGTCCATGTATAGTAATTGTGTCTAGAACATGCCCGGTATGTGAGTTGAAGTGAAATTTTAGGTGATGCTCGGTTTGAAAAATGATTTTAGGCTTTCTTTGATCTTTTTGAGTCTAGTTCTTATCGCATATAAAATCCATCCCTCGTTAGCCCTTTTGAACCTGTAGACCTTTTATTTGACACCTACATTACGAGCCTATTCATTTTTTTTCTTAATTGATATTATTTTAATTCTTTTACCTCCTAATGCACTTTAGTTATAAAATGAGTGCTAAAAGAGGTAAAGAAGGAATTTGGGTGGCTTTCGAGTGAAATCAATGAAAGAAATAAAGATGTACTTATTTTGTAAAATAATACACCGCTAGAGGAAATTGAAAAGGGGAAAATAATAGTTTAAAAAAGAAAAAAAAGGAAGAAAGAAAAATCTAAAAAAAAAGAGAAGAAAAAAATACAGATGAATAAATTGTTGTCTTGTTCTTGCTAGTGGGGTATAAATTAAAGTTATACATGTTCTCGTATCAGGGTCGAGGCTTCCTTTCGAGTTTTTTCCAGCTTGGCATGGAGAATAGGGAGGTCCTTAAGGGCCTCATCATGTTGCTCACTTAGAAGCCTATACATGTCTGTCTTCCGGACCTGCTCCTTGAGCTCGAACTCGAGCTGGCTGGTTTCCAGGCGGTACTGGAGGTAGCTCTCGTGGTGAAGCACCGAAGCCTATAAAGCAATGGAATTAAGTAAGACACATCAAAGGAAATTGTTCTCCAAATTTTAAGCCACTTCATAAATGACATCAAAAGAAATATTTAGACCAGATATTACTTGTTCTATTTCAGATGAAACAATTTCTTCCTCCTCAGTTGTAGACTTAAAAGATTCTTCTGATTTTTGGGGTTCTTCTGCTTGGCTTGCTTTCAATTTCTCATTTATTTTCTTGATTTGTTCACTGCCATCGGTTGTCTTACGAGCAATCATATTGGACCTTCCTTTCTTAGATATAGGTGTGTTTGAAGGTGTGGTTGAAGGTGTAGGTGATAATTCTTTGGGTGGTGAAGAAGGTTTTTCAGATGGGTTTGCCATTGAGGATATATGTGTGTAGAAGAGATGAGAGAGGATAGAGAGAATTTCTTTTGGTGGCTAGAAAATTAGAAGTGAAGACATAGTTAGGGGCTAATCAATTTAAAGAGGAAGAGTTTGAGTGAGTAACAGTTGTTTTTTGAAGTTCAGAAGTCTAATCAAACTGGGAAAGTCAGTTTGAAAAGACGTTGGACTCTTTCCTATAATCTAGGTAATTATGGCGCGTGAGACTCCTTTTTGGTGCAATCAGTTTGTTTGTAACAGATAAACTTGAGGGAGATTGGGATTATATGAGACTCTTTTTTTGATCATGATCCAAATACAATTATTTTAAAATATGTGGAGTGGAGAGTGCATACCATATAATCTTGATGAACCAGGTTCTTCACTAAGAATTATCTTCTGTAAGTCTTAATTTTTTGAGAAAATAAAGATAATATCATTAGAGATTAATGAGATATTTTAGCACATGACACAAGAGTATATGTAACAACCCGACCGGTCATTTTTAGCATTTGCACTTCGTTCAATGGTTTGAGGGCATGAGTAGCTCCATATGATGTAGTATGACTTGTGTGTATCGTCGGTTTCAGTTTTCGAGTGATTCAGAATTAGTTTGGAAGAATGATTCTCAACTAGGAAGCTTTAAGTTTGTAACGACTCGACCAGTCGTTTTGAGCGTTATAGCCCATTCCCCTATTTACTGCTAATTTTATGCTTATTAGTTACTATGTGATGTGTTAGGGTAGTTGGTTCGGTTCCAGGGATGTTTCAAAATGTGATGAGACACTTAGTCTCAAGGTAGGAAGCTTAAGTTGAAAATGTTGATAGGATATTGACTTATGTGTAAACGACTCCGGAATGGAGTTTTTATGGTTCCGTTAGCTCCGTTGGGTGATTTTGGACTTAGGAGTGTGTTCGGATAGTGATTTGGAGGTCCTTAGTTGAATTAGGCTTGAAATGACGAAAGTTGGAAATTTAAAAGTTTGACCGAGAGTTAACTTTGTGGTTACCGGGCTCGGATCAGGGTTCCGGGCATTGGAGTATGTCCGTTGTGTCATTTGTGACTTGTGTGCAAAATTTGAAGTCAATCAGACGTGATTTGATAGGTTTCGACATCGAATGTAGAATTTAGAAGTTCAAAACTTCATTAGGCTTGAATCAATGCGCGATTCGTGATTTTAGCGTTGTTTGATGTGATTTGAAGGCTCGAATAAGTTCGTATAATGTTTTAGGACTTGTTGGCGTGTTTGATTGAGGTCCCGGGGATCTTGGGTAGATTTCCGATGGTTAACGGAGTGAAAATTGGACTTGGAAGGCTGCTGAAGATTTCTGGTGGCGAGTTCTGGTTTCCTTCTATGCGATCGCGTGGATAGGTACGCGATCGCGAAGGCTTGTTTGGGGGAGCTGGGGATTTTGCTCTATGTGTTCACGAGCTGGAGTACGCGATCGTGTAGGTTGGACATGCAGAGAATTGTGAACGCATGGGCGTAGCCGCGTTCGCGAAGAGGAAAGGAGGTAGGAGTTGGGTCACGCGTATTGCTCTATGCGAACGCGTGGGTCGTTGTGCGAACGCGTAAGTTTGAGGGCTAGTGCACTGCGTTCGCGTAAGGTTAATTCATGGGGAAGCATAGTTGTGCTTCGTGACCGCGAAGCATTTTCCGCGATCACAATGAAGGGCATCTGGGCAGACTTAAATATTTCAAAAACGAGGGTTTGAGCTCATATCACAAATTTGATTTTGGGAGCTCGGTTGGAGGAGATTCTTGGAGAGATTTTCAAGGGAGTAATTGGGGTAAGTGATTCTTACTTAGTTTCGGTTAAATTCCATGATTATATCTTTAATTTCATCATTTAATTCGTGATTTGGGTTGGAAAATTGAGGGAAAATGGAGGAAATTTCTTAGGCCGAATTTTGGGGATCTGATCGAGATTTTAGTATCAGATTTGAGTAATTTTGGTATGGGTGGACTCATAATTGAATGAGTGTTCGGACTTTGTGACTTTTATTGGATTCTAAGACGTGGGCCCGAGGGTTATCTTTTGAGTTGACTTTTTGACTTTTGATTAAGAATTTAGTATTTTCTTATGCATTGATTCCTTTAGCTCGTGTTGATAGTATCGAATTGTTTGTGGCTAGATTCGAGCATTCTGAGGCCGATTCGCGAGGCAAGGGCTTGTTGGAGTAGAGTTTTGCACAGTTTGAGGTAAGTAACACTTCTAAACTTGGTTATGAGGGTATGAAACCCCAAATTACGTGTTATGTAATTGGTGTTGAGGTGACGCACATGCTAGGTGACGGGCGTGTGAGCGTGCACCATAGGAATTTTGACTTGGTAAATTCCATAGGAACTGTATAGTTTAATAATCTTGTTGTTACCCGTATTTTCACCATGTGTTAGAGAAGTTGAGCTGCCAGTCATGTTAGAAATCATGCTTAGGCTACTTGTTAGTATTATTGGGACCCACAGAGGTCATGTTTCATGTTGAATTATTTGCTTAATTTGCCATTTTGTACTCAGTCACAACTATTATTTGTATGTTATATCTCAGTCTTTGTTGTCCTTTATTGATACATTATATCATCATTGTTTGGGCTGATTATCATGATTCTTGTGAGCTCGAGAGACTGGAGAGATTGATGACTGAGTGAAACCGAGGGCCTAATTGTGAGGATATTTATGGGATTGGGCTATACGCCATAACATTTTATTTGATTTATGCCAATATTGGCTTATTATAGCGCTTGGGCTAGAATTTCCCCTCCAGAGCCTGTACATCCACACTGGGCGTAGGTACCTATTGAGTGCGAGTGCCGAGAGATTGGGAGGATTGATTGGCTGTGAGGATGGAGTGACTATGAGGATGGAGTGAATGAAAGGACTGAGTGACTGATACTCTGAGATCATGCACATGATTCATTACCGTTTTGTACTTCAGTTGGCATATATAACTGTCATGTAGACACTGAGATGTGCCATATCTTGTTTCAATCGAACTTGACGTGATTTACCGGTTTGGGCTTTAACTGTTGAACTTGAAAGCATGCCTACATTTCTGTACTATTATTCTGTAATTGAATTGTACCTATGAAGCTCGTCAATACTTTCTGTCCAATAGTTAGACTTGTTACTTACTGAGTTGGTTGTACTCGCGCTACACCCTTCACTTCGTGTGCAGATCCAGGTGTATTCGGTCACGGTGGTTGCTGATTCTCATAGTTTACTGTATTTCGGAGATAAGGTAGCTGCTCTGGCGTCCGCAGACCTTGACTCTCCTCCCCTATCCCTCAATTTTTATTTATTCAGTTTCAGTTTCTTAGACAGTGATTCAGACTCTGTATATGTATAGATGCTCATGCGCTCGGTAACACCCCGATTTTGGAAAAACTTATGTATTGATTTATGATCCAATCCCGTTTTATGAGATTTTTATTTATTTAAACTATTTTAATATATTTCAAAGCTGAAAGTGTTGGAAATGTCTCAGTAGTCGTCTTGCCTAGTAGCATGATAGGCGCCATCACGATAGGTTGGGTTTTGGGTCGTGACAAAGTTGGAAGAGTTGACCAAGTTTGACTTTTGAGTATTTGATCTCGAATCAAAGTTTTGATGGTTTCGTTATATTCGGATGGTGATTTTGGACTTGAGCATATGCCCGTATCTGCATTTGGATATTTCTAGAAGGTTTCGACACTCATTGGCGAAAGTTAGAAATTTGAAGGTTTAGAATATTCATAAGTTTTCCTAAGAGTTGACTTCGATGTTATCTGGTTCGGATTGTTGTTCCGAGAGTTGGGATAGGTTTGATATGTCATTTGGAACTTGTATGCAAAATTTGGGTTCATTCTGGATTGGTTAGGCTTGAATCGAATGCTTGGTTCGAAGTTTGAAGTTTATGAACTTAAGATTGATCTTGATCGACGATTCATGGCTTTGATGTTCTTATGTGTGATTTGAGGCCTCAAATAGGTTCGTGTTATGTTTTGGGACTTGTTGGTATGTTCGGACGGGGATCTAAGGGGCTCGGGTGAGTTTCGGGGTGGTTTCGAACCATTTCTAGGCCATTTTAGCTGTTGGGTTTTGGCTACAGGGGTGTGCATTGCGATCACGTAGAATTGGTCGCGATTGCGAAGAGTAAAATAGGAAAAATGGACCTGTAAATCGCGATCGCGGAAGCCTTTTCGCGATCGCATAGAAGAAAATTCTTCTATCACTAACCCGACTTTAGAAGCTTATATCTTGAAATCTATAAGGAATTTGGAGATGATTCAAAAATGAAAGTTGTAGCCCTTTGTGTCTAATTTTTAGAAAATCAAGTTGTTTGTAATTTGGATTTTTCTACAAGACGTTAGGAATGATACACTACAAGCTATTTGAGAAGAGTTTGGGAAAGGTTAATAGAAGTTTGTCCATCGCGATCACGGGGAAATGGCCGCGATTGCGATCACGAGGTTTGTGACCGCGATCGCGAAGGGTACCCTTGAAAAAGTGTATAAACTACTCTAATTCGAAGGGTTTAGACATTTTAGCATATTTTGAGCTATGGAGCTCGGAATTAGGCTATTTTCACTACATGGATTGGGGTAAGTGTTTCCTACTCGGTTTTGATTATATTTCATGAATCCATCTTTGATTTTGGCATTTGATTGATGATTTTGGGGGGTTTTGTCTAAACTTTCATAAAGTAATTTTTTGAGTTTTGAACATCGATTCGGAGTTGAATTTGAGTGAAACTCGTATGGTTCGACTCGTTATTGAATGAGTTGTTAGATTTATTGAGTTTTGTCGGGTTCCGAGGTGCGAGACCGGGTTTGACTTTTTAGTTGACTTTGGGCTTTTGATTAAAGATTCAACCTTTATTGATTGGGCTTGTTCATTTGGCATTATTTGATGTTCTTGAGTTGCTTTTAGCTAGTTTTGAGTCGTTCGAAGGTTGATACGTGCGGAATGTCTTTTCTAGAGTATTGTTTGGCTTGCTCGGTACTGGATTCGGCTTGTTCG